ACAAGGTCACGATTTACCAACGCTAGGTCAACGCCACTTCCAGGTCAACATTACTTCACTATATTTTTCGCTATGGTAGCAGGACAGCAGGATAAATTCGGGTCAGGTCACGACCACAGGCCCAAGAACGAAGTCCTTGCAATGACACCACGCCTCCCTTGATACATGGGAAATCCGCAACGCACCGCCTCTCACACACCTATCAGACAGCCATCCTGCTCAAGCACCTGACGGCGGGTGCACTCACTCGTATCCCTCCATTGATATGCCGAGGACGTCTTCCTGACCGAGGTTGTGCGTGGAGACGAGCTCCTGCAGGATCTCCTCGCGTTCTGAGTCGAAGTCTTTCAGCCACACGGCCGACTCCTTCAGGTGTCCCACCACCTGGTCCACGCCTGAGGCACGGGAGCGTACTCTAGCTTACTGGGATAGCGGAGGGGATCAGTGTCCACTGCCTTGTCCACGCCGGAGGCACGGAGGATGCCTTCACATCTCCGGTATGGTGGGTGATAGGGTCAGCACCACACCACCTTCCCCACATCTGATGAGCATGGTGGAATAAGACCGTTGCCCTGGAGCTCAACAACGATATCCCTTGGGCTATTAAGACCGTCGCGCACGAGCCGATATGAGACGCAGGCGAGCGAATGACCAGACTCTGAGGTCTACAGTTGAACTGGGTGTGACCAAATTAAAACAGACATCCGCATGCCGAGGTCCACTACTAGCCGAAACGTTCAGTACCTGCCAGCCTTTCGTCAGACAGCCAACTACTGCAGAAACGACCACTGACTGGGTTGGGACAAACCTCGGAGTTCGCAGTGTCTGGGCCGATGGTGGGCATCCCGGTGGTGACACCGGCCTTTAAACTTGACACTGCGCGGGCCAGCGCGACGCGCGCCGCGGACACGGCAGCCTTGGGGTGGAAGGCACGCTGATGGACCGGATGAGGAAGGAGACGGCAGGCAACCCGTTGGGGAAGGACGGAAGGAAAGCTGATGGTGTGCTTGTCAGTTCCTGCATAAACCATGCAACGAGTCGACATCAACATTGAACCAGTTGTTTGATCAACAATGAGAGGATTCATACTGGACCACCATACCACGAAGTTTCCGGGTCACAAAATGAGCAGCACTGACCTTTGAACTTCACAGTGCACGAGCCGGTGCCACCCGAGCGGGTTGTGATGATGACGTCACAGAAGCCCCGTGACGTACCCGACAGGATGACGATCTTGTTGGCACTGTGCCAATCAGCCGTCAGGGAGCAGTCCCATTCTCCTATCAGCACACCTACAACAGCACAGAGCCAGTCAGTCTCAGGTGAAGACCCAATGTGCGGAACACACACATCCCAGAAAAGGACTGCCTCCACACCGGCAGCACGGTCGGGTAAAGTGTTTGTTTTGGGTCTCACCCACCAGTGGCAGGTTGGATTCGAGTTGCTTCAAACACTCAGTGTTTTGCCCTGACTGGGATGACCTGGAGCCAGTGACAGTGGCCGTGCTAATGGTCAGGTAACACCATAGGTGGGAATGGACTGTGCCATGCTTTACAGCATGTAACATTTTTGCATAAAATTTTGCCAGTGGATGAAATTTCATGATCAGATGGTGGGATTAGGACTCAAACAGTAAAATCTTCTTATCATGGGCTCTCATCCCAAATGTCCTGTAATGTGCAATGGTGGTCCATCTTTCCAGCCCACTCCTACACTTCTGGACAGTGCATGTTCATCCAACCAAATAAACCATGAAAATTAGCAGAGCAGACTCCATGAATGGCTCCTCAATGGCTTTCTGCACCATACCTAAAACATGTAAGTCATTGGCAATGTCTTGGCCCCTAAATGCACAACTGTTCCAAGGGGCTCCCACCTGGCCAACTCAGGGAGCATTGTATCCAAGAAACATGCTGCTAGCCACCCCCAAGCATTTTGACAAATTAACACCAGAATACTATGGCTCATGTACAGGATTTAACCCAGACCCTGGTGCACCCTATGCAGATTCTCTCTATGGGTGGCCAAGCCACAGCAACCAGCCATCCTGAACCCCTCGCACCCCCCCCCCCCCCCACCCTGCATCAAAACAGAGTCCATGCATGACTATTCCATGCTGCAGCACAGAGTATGTGTGGCTGTAGCTGGCCAAATAAAGGGGGTGCTTGTGCAGCTAGTCCACCACAAGTACTCTGCATTTGGAGACACAATGCATATACTGCGCCCCCTGATCACAAGCTGTCCTTGCAGGACAATGATGGCGTCCTGGGACACAACAAGGGAAATGTTGCTGAACCAGCAACAGTTTAGTGCAGGTGGTCATTTGCCTCACTTGCCCACAATGTCCACATAGTTTGGCTTGGTCACTTTGGGTATTTGATCATGGCATGCCAATAGGTGACAAGCATAACAAAGGAGGCTGCTCTCCCTATGAAGCAGATCAGCCAGGACTGCACCAAACTCACCACACTGTGATCAGCTCAAAGCATCTACTTATCCTTATACACATGGAAATGTGATCAATGAGGACATGCTGCAAAAGAGGCAGAGGTTCATCTTGCTTAGTCTTATGCCAACACTTACACACTAAGTCCTGCTGACTTGTGCCAAGATTTTCTCCACGAATTGTGACCTTTGTGCCTGGAGGTCCCTCTTTGGGTGACAGCCCTGTCACCACAGGAGGTGGCCCCATCCTCAGCTGAAATCAACAGATCACAATGCTTCTTGCTGAAATAATAAGCACACCAGCCACCAGTAAACATCAGCTATTCACCTTCTGTTCTTTCCCGATGGAGGACTTCATTTATCCATAACTAAAGCACTACCATAGGCTCATTCAAGTCAACAACATAATGGAAATATGGATGCCTGCAGATTGTGCACTGGCTGCAAAAATACAGGCTATACTGGAGTGCACAATGAATGTAAATCCAGCACAAGTTGGTCTGGCCCGAGCTTGGCATTCCCACGCACAAGGTTCAATACACTGGTGTCCCACAAGCGTCCAGCTCAGTGGATATCCCAGAGAGGCAGGCGATGATGCATGGCCCCAACCATTGAATGCAGAGCAAAGTTCCGATGACAACAGAATGAAAATGATTGTAGGTCACGGCTGCAGTGTATAAAACGAGACTGAGTGCAACAGTAGCACGATTGGTTCTTACAAATTCGACGGCAGTCACCGGTTCGTTATCCAATATTTCACATGCATCTTGAGCAATATTCGAGTTCAATGCTTCCTATGTACTTACGTACCTAGTTATCCGGGACGCGCCCTCCCACACACCCCCCTACTTTCCGCGTCTCCACAAGCCAATTCCAATCACACCGCAATCCGTGCGGTGGGCGTACGGATTGACTGGTGCCCTGCTCACCACTCGCGTATTATCAGATTTCACGATACTCTCGACCAATCATGTTGTTTCAAGGTGCGAGAGTCTTCGCCAGGGTTGGTTGATGCTCCCACCTTTACATTTTAGAAGCCATATTACTTGGCTCTAGGCACGTATTTCCATGACGCATCTGCGACAAATTATGGAGTGCATTTTCTCATCACCCATGCCGGGAACGCGCGATATCAACATTATGACATCGGGCTGTGAGTACGTCAGGTGCCTACTGCTCATGTCTGCAAGTGGTGTTGGTCATTGGCGACGGTAGATATTGATGATGAGTGATGATAGTTGCTGCGACCGATGAAATTGTAATGTATCGTGATGGTGCGTGATGATAGATGTGGCAGATGAGGTTGTTCCTTCGTTTGGGTTGAATTACCATATCATGCATGCGAGTCTTATCTGTTCATTGACGTTCATGTACATCCCTATGATCTCCTTAACCTTACAATGACCCATTTTTCTTTGAAAGCTGCCCTCATTAATAAGTGCCACATAGGGTACCAATGTGTGGAGGCTATAAATGAACTGTAAGCATTATTCAATATTGACTGAAAGTTTAGATGCATTGAAGGTCCATTGAACAGCATCACACAACCAGGCATTGTTTAATCCAATTTCCATGTTGATTACATTGATTATGCCATTTGTACATGCATTGATAATGGACAGCATCAACAAACAAAAGCTTAGAAGCCACAGAAGTCAATCCTTTGCAATCATCAATCGTTTGGATGCATGTGTGTGTGTGTGTGTGTGTTTGTGTATGTCTGTTAAGTGTAGAGCAAAAATTAAGCTATTTCCAGTGGTCTGCAACTACTACCCTTCCATGTTAGTCTGGATGTTTGTGCATATTAGGTGCATCACAATCTTTGCTTGTCTTTGTGAAGGGTACAGGTATACTCCTTGGACTTGGGTACACCCAAGAGCACCCCAGAACAGTTTTGAACAGAACAGAACAGTATTGCTTCTCCTCCTGCTCAAGATCAGTCAATCAACACTAAGTTGAATGATGATCAACTGAGCATCAAGGAATCTCCAGCTTTGGCAAGTTGGTTGGGCAGGTCAGATGATTGGGTTTGGTTCAGAGGATGGATTATCAGCTAACCAAACAATGTGCATGCAGAAGCTGCTGCAGAGCCATCTTTCAGGAAATTTTGTGTTATATTTACATCTGCACACCTAAAGATGAAGTTTGGAATGCTGGTCATTTGTGATATACATTCTGATTACCACTTTCACCCCTGTTCTTGGTATATTATATCTAAGGATGCAGGCTTTGCAGGCCCTAATTTACACCATACAATGTTTTCAGGTGAAGTCAAGTAGAACAGCAGATCCTGGCAACACTGACATTGTAAGCATCATCTTGTGAAGCTCAAGGTCAACATTAGCCATACAATGTCATCCAAGATGCTAAGCAGTGCTCAGTAGCATCACTTCCTAGACAACAGCCACCCCATAACCATGAACTGTGTGTTGGGACAGTGGCTGTTGCGCGTGCGCGGCGTCGCTGCGCGCCGCGCGCTCTGCTGCGGCCGGCCGCGGCCCGCCGCCTGGTCCGAGCTGAGCGCCGGCGAGGTGGAGGTCACGTGCGGCGGCCGCAGCAGCCGGCTGGCCGTCAGCGAGCTGGCGCGGTTCGCCGACGGCAGCGCCACGGCGCAGGACGGCGACACGGCCGTGCTGGTGACGGCCGTCAGCCGGCCGCGACCCGGGCCGCCGCCCGGCTTCCTGCCGCTGACCGTCGACTACCGGCAGAAGGCGGCCGCCGCCGGCCGCATCCCCACCAACTTCCTGCGCCGGGAGCTCGGCCCCAGCGAGCAGGAGATCCTCACCAGCCGGCTGATCGACCGCTCGCTGCGCGCGCAGTTCCCGGCCGGCTACGGCGCCGACACGCAAGTCACGTGCAACCTGCTGGCCGTGGACGGCGACCGGCTGCCGGACGTGTTATGTGTGAACGCGGCGTCGGCGGCGCTCGCCTGCTCAGACATCCCTTGGGGCGGCCCGGTGGGCGCCGTGCGTATGGGCTGGCTCGACGGACAGCCGCTGGTGAACCCGGGCCGCCGCGAGCTGGCGGAGAGCTCGCTTAATCTGATGGTCACGGCTGGCCCGCAGAATACGGTCGTCATGCTGGAGGCGGCCGCCGACAACATACTGCAGCAGGACTTCATGCACGCTATCAAGGTGGGCGTGCGCGAGGCACAGCACGTGGTGCGCGGCGTGGAGCAGCTGCAGCGCAAGCATGGCCGCACCAAACGCCACTTTCAGCCGCCGCCGATCGACGCTGAACTCGATGACTCGGTGGCGGCGCTCTGCGAGACGCGCCTCGAGGCCATCCTCACCGACTGTCGACACGACAAGATCTCTCGCGACGAGGCCGTGTCGGCCGTGCGCGCCGACGTGCTGGAGAAGCTGCGCGCAGACGGCGGCGGCGAGCGCGCCGCGCAGGCGTCCGACGCCTTCAACCGGCTGTTCCGCGCGTTGTTCCGTCGCCTGGCGCTGGACCGCGAGACGCGCTGTGACGGCCGGGACGCGGACGAGCTGCGCCCGATCTCGTGCCGCGTCAACCTGCACCGGCCGCTGCACGGCTCGGCGCTCTTCCAACGCGGCCAAACGCAGGTCATGTGCACGCTGACGCTGGACTCGGCCGAGTCCGTGCTTAAGTCCGACCTCATGTCGGTGATCACGCAGGGCGTGCGGCCCAAGAACTTCATGCTGCACTACGAGTTCCCGCCGTACGCCACCAACGAGACGGGCCGGCCGGGCGGCCTGGGCCGGCGCGAGCTTGGCCACGGCGCTCTGGCCGAGCGCGCGCTGCGCGCCGTCGTGCCCGAGCCGTTCCCGTTCGCCTTGCGCCTGACGGCCGAGGTGCTCGAGTCGAATGGCAGCTCGTCGATGGCGTCCGTATGTGCCGGCAGCCTGGCGCTGATGGACGCCGGCGTGCCGGTCAGCGCGCCCGTGGCCGGCGTGGCGATCGGAATGGTGAGCCGGCCCGACCCGGAGTGTCCCGAGCGGCTCGGCCAGTACCGCCTGCTCACCGACATCCTGGGTATCGAGGACTACTGCGGCGACATGGACTTCAAGCTGGCCTGCACGCCGACCGCCATCACGGCGCTGCAGGCCGACTTCAAGCTGCCGGGCCTGCCGCTGTCGGTGATCATGGAGGCGGTGACGGCCGGCCGCACGGCCACGCGCGAGATCTTCAGCATCATGGCGAAGTCGCTGGCGCAGCCGCGCGCCGAGCGCAAGGACAACTGGCCGGTCACCGAGGAGATGACCGTGCCGGCGCACAAGCGCGGGCGACTCCTCGGCGTCGGCGGCGTCAACCTCAAGCGTCTGCTGGCCGATACGGGCGTGCAGGTGACTCCGCGCGACGACACCACCTTCTGCGTGTTCGCGCCCAGCCCGGCGGCGTTGGCCGAGGCGCGCGCGCAGCTGGACGCGCTGCTCGAGTCGTCCCCCGAGCCGGAGTTTGAGTTCGGCGCCGTGTACACGGCGCGCGTGGTCGAGCTGCGCGAGACGGGCGCGCTCGTGCGGCTGCACCCGAACGCCGCGCCCGCGCTCGTGCACAACAGTCAGCTAGACGCGCGGCCGGTGCGCCACCCGAGCGCGCTCGGGCTCAGCGTCGGTGATGAGATCCAGGTCAAGTACTTCGGCCGTGACCCGGTCAGCGGTCACGTACGGCTCTCACGCAAGGTACTGCTGGCGCCGGCTGGCGGGCCCGTGCGGAACCTGCAGCCCCGCTCTGACGCCGAGCAGGGCTGACGGCGGCGGGCCGGTGTGACGTCAGCGACCGCGACCGGACCGGGTCACACGGGTCAGCTCAGACCACCCCGCCGGCTGGGACGTTGCTCCTGTGATACAAGCGCCTGAATTTCCAGGGATTGTTGCATTCTGAGCCTGTGTTTCAGGTGACAGATTAGTGTCCAGGGTACCATCACCGGCTGGCGTAATACATTACATGTATGCAGCCTTGTTAAAGGACTGTTTAAATGAAGGTCGACGGAAAATACTGGAAAGGAATCGTCAGAAACAAGGGCTTAAAGCAAGCAAACTCTCCCACTAACTGGATCTCGTGCCAACGTAGAGAGGACGTAAGGGGGAAAGTGCGTACCCCCGTGCTGCCCTGAGATAGGGGTAAAGTATTAGTGAGCGACATTACATGAGCCGGTCAGCCAATTGGCGAACCAGATAATATACCATTACATCTACGGCCCATGAACAGCTCAGTACGACGCACAGTCACACGGCAAAAATTCACTCGTCACACGTTAGCCGAAGCTGAAACGCTGTTCGATAATTCATGAATAACAGATACGTGAAACGTCATTAGAAAGCTTCTGACATTCTGAATACCTTTTGCTTAGATAAGTTACGAAGTTGAGATCAGTGTCATATAAGATCATCTGCCATTTTCCCTCTGATTTGCATGCAACCGATACACATATCGTATGTTGTTCAAACTGAACGGTTGGGTGCAATGTAAGTCTGCAATTCAGCATGCAGTATAATACAGTGCTGTAAGTAACACAGTAACACGAACCATGCTGCAATCATTACATTCATATACTTTCGGCCTTTGGCCTTGGTCAGATATCTCTGGAGTCAGTTCCATTTCCAGGTCACCCTAGGTCAGGGGCCTATGATAATGTTTCAGGGCAAAGTGGCTGGTGCAGATGAGGGAGCGACGCTTTTCACCACATTGGTGTTGGGTTTTCCCGCTTGCTTTCGGAGGACCCGTTACTGTTTGTAGTGTTGACCCTGTGTCCTGACCCTTGTGAGCTTGTTGACCCTATGTGTTGACCCTTGCGAGATTGTTCACCCTCGTGCAATTTGGGAGCGATCCTCGGCACAGGTTAACAGTCTCGTACAGCAACACAAGTGGGCTTCCCCACCACTTCGTCAACGTTGGCCGGCAAAGATGGAGAAGCGCTCGTCGCGGGCTCAAACGATGCCATTCCAGTCGTTGCTGGTGCGCCTCCCACAGCTTCCAAGTGCTAAAATGGCATGGCTTACCAGTAAGCATCCCATTGCATCTACGACTCAGGATCGCCCACCACGGCGCATGGTCGCGCAGCAAATATTCACGCGTTACGCACGAGCCAGCCTTCTCTTAACCGCCGTCACATCGCTTTTTGTTCGCTTTACCTTCCACCACGTTTATTGCCTTTCCGTCGGTGCATATCCGATATTTGCTGTCTGAACTCCCTCCACCACTTCTTCGTCTAGGTGGTTTCAATGCATATCACACCGCTTGGGAATGTTACACTACGAACACTCGCGGAAGGCTCTGCGCGAATTTTGTCCATGGTGCTTCACTACGCATTTTAAACGACGGAACTCGTACACACGTCACAAAGAAACTCGTACATACGTCACAATGGAACTCGTACACATTTCACAATGGAACTTGTACACACTTCGTCATGGAACTCGTACACGCTTCACGATGGAACTCGTACACACTTCACAATGGAACTCGTACACACTTCACAATGGAACTCGTACACACTTCACAATGCTATCCGGACAGACGTCGGCGTTATACTTAAGCCTCTTCAGTCCCCAGCTGGCTCAGCACCTTGAGTGAAGTGTCGGTGATGACCCGGTGGGAACTGACCACTTTCCTATGTGGACCCGGTTTACAAAAGGTGGAATACTGGGTGTGAGGCCATAGCACTGGAATTTGAAAAAAGGCCGACTGGTGCGAGTTCGGGACTCGGCTTGAGGCATTGTTCTTATCTGGCCCTGGGGGGCGCCACCCTCTATTGAGGATTTTACTCAAAGGCTTTAGGAGTGCGCCGATAAGCGTATCCCACGCACTTCTGGCGCTCCCCGACACACCCCTGGTCCGTGGTGGACAGAGGAGTGTCGGAGCGCCATTCGGTCACGTAAGCGTGCCTTCCGAGCTTTTGACTCCAGGAGAGACGCTGAAGAGCGAGGATTGGGCTCTGGTTGGTCGAGGTCGGGAGGGGCACCCCTCCCGACCAAACCAGACACGTTCCGGGAAAGAGGTGCCGACCACGGCGTCTCTTTCAACAACTACAAGCCGAACTTCGCCCGGCGAGACAGTGATGGAGGCGTTGCGGCGCGGTGAGGTGGAGAAGACGTCCCGCGTGCCCAGGCGAGCGTGTCTGGTCGAGCAGGCGAGGGCGGCCAGGCGGTCCCCGGGGGCTGCCGATTCATGGACCCCAGCAGGGGACGGCGGGAAGTCTCCTCCCTTGGGGTTTGCCGGGGCGTCGGTGCCGGCGGTGGCTGGCGGTGCGCCCTCCTCTGGGGTGGATGGTGGGGTGCCGCCCTTCTCGGGAGGGAGCGCTTTCACGCTTCGGAGGCGCGTTGAGCCGCCGCTTGCTCCGTCCCGAATGGATCCCCCACCGCCTCCTCCGCCTTCGCTGCACCTACTCAATCCCTGCCGCCTCCGGCGACCCCGCCGTCGTCGCCGAGGCCGTCGGAGCCTCCTACCGCCCCGGGCCGCCCCGCTAAGCGCGGATTGCCATGGAGGGGCTCGCCGACGGACGAGGTAAGTCTGCGAGCGCGGCTGAATTTTTAATCAGGCTCGAATGCCGGTCGTTCAAGTTCTGCGGACGGGCGGCTGCGCCGAAGTGGAGATGTGCAGCCCCGGGTACACTTCAGAGAGTTTGGCCCTTCGTCTGGTGCAATGGAACACTTCTAGTCAGGTTAGTCCTTTTTCCAATCTGTAACAGTTTTATGTCACCTTTTTACGCAGCCCATGTTTATCTTAGCTTCGTACTTTTAAACTTCACTTTTAGCCAGGTTTTATGCAGGTCATTCTACAATGGACCTGCAGAGGTTTACGAACCAGCGCCCGGGATTTATACGCTGTGCTTAATCACCGTCGTCCAGCTATTGTCTGCCTCCAGGAGACGAAGCTTGCACCGGATTCTCACTGCACCACCAAAGGTTACTCAATATTCAGAAAGATGTGCTAGCAGACACTGGCGCACGGTGGTGTGCTGTTGGCAGTACACCACAGTGTGCCTGCGCGGCAGCTGAGGCTACAAACCTCGCTCCAAGCTGTTGCTGCGCGTGTTCATTTTAATCATCGTCTGGTAACCCTGTGCTCAGTGTATTTGCCACCGGGGTTTAGTTTCCCATTAGCGGAGATCTATATAGTTTCCCATTAGCGGAGATAGAGATTTGGTCATCTTGGGAGATTTTAACGCACACCATACCGTTTGGGGTTGTGATGACAGCAGCGTGCGGGGACGCACTTTAGAACAATTTATTCACGAGGAGTCACTCTGTGTTTTGAATACAGGATCTCGGACGCATTTTACGTCACCGCCAGGTCGGACGTCGGTTTTGGACCTAAGCCTGGTGAGCCCGCAACTCGTGCAGCTTTTTACGTGGGCTGTAAACGACGACCCCATGGGAAGCGACCATTTCCAGTGTGGTTAGAGCCCTGTAAGGGGGCGGTCCTCGACCCTCGACCACGACGGTGGAATCTTAAAAAAGCGGACTGGAGTGAGCTTGAGTCTCAGGTAGAGATGGAATTTGGGGCACAGTACGTGGATGGTACAGGTTACTCGATGGAAGACTTCACGTCCGCGCTTTTACGTGCAGCGAACACAAGCATTCCAAAGACATCTGGGGCTCCTCGTCGCACCCCGATGCCGTAGTGGACCGACGAGTGCCGAGCTGTTATCCGGGCACGTAGGTGGGTCTTTCGGGCCTTTGACCGTCACGCCACAACCGAAAATTTAATTGCATTTAGGAAGGCTAGAGCCTTGAATGCCTAGATGCGGCGAAGACCAACCGCGGTGTCCATGCTGCGGGGATAGTTACACCGTACGACATGTCTTGATAGATTGTGCCCACTTTGCCTCGGAACGCATGCATCATTTTGGATCAGGGTCCGTGCGTCAAACGCTCTGTGGCGTGCTGGGAGACGACTCGAGCTCAGTAAATGATTGTCACATTTTTAGCTATCTTGAAGACACAAATCCACGCCATATATCGAACATAACTTTATCTCCCCGCTTTCTCAGGCAATTGTTAGATAAAAAGTAGGTTATGGGCGTCATATGACCAACGTAGTCGGTGCGCCCCAAAGCCCAAATCATCATCATAATCGATACGATTAAGCATCTGCCGCCTCGCGTGCCTCGCGTTTTATTAGTGGTCTTCAATTTGCTTTGGACCTGGGGTGAATTCTCATCCTCTTGGCGGGAAGCTACTGTCGTGTCTCTCTTGAGGCCGGGAAGAGGTGGGCTAGATCCTTTGCATTATAGACCCATTTCTCTTACGTCATTGCCCTGTAAGTTGATGGAGAAGATGGTTAACGTCCGTTTAACCTGGTTTTTGGAGCATCACGACATTTTTACCAGTGCAGTGTGGTTTTAGAAAGAACCGCAGCATTGTAGATGATCTTTTAGTTCTTGATACTGCGAGTCGGGATGGATTTAAAGCAAATGGACACACTGGCACTGCCTTCTTTGACATAGAGGGCGCCTATGATACCACATGGCGTCATGGTATTCGTGTCAAGCTATATAGGTATGGTATGCGAGGCGATATGAGCACTTTTCTCGAAAGCTATTTAGTTGACTGTTATTTCCGTGTCCGTGTTGGGAACGTGCTCTCTGAGAGGCACCATCAAGTTAATCGTTTGCCCCAAGGTGGTGTCCTGACCGTATCACTGTTCGCCGTTATGATAAACGACATCGGGGATGGCCTGCCACAGTCTGTAGGTCGGGCCCCATTTGTTGATGATTTTACCATTTGGACTAGCGCAGCAAGAGCTTAGTCGATGGAGCGGCATTTTCAGTTGGCTGTGGATCGTATCGAGAAGTGGGGCGCCATAAACGGGTTCAGGTTTTCTAGCAACAAAACTGTAGCTATGCATTTTTGTCGTAGTCGGCAATGCGGCAGTATGTCTATCCGTCTGTGTGGCCAACGCATCTCAACGGGGCCCGTGGCTAGATACCTGGGGGTATACCTTGACCACCGACTAACGCATAAAGTCCATCTTAAAACGCCACGCGAAAGTTGCTTTAGATCTTTGAACATACTAAAATTGATTTGGCGCACCTAGTATGGGGGAGATAGAAGCATGCTTTTGTTACTGCATCGCTCAATCATGCGTTCTAAGCTGGACTACGCGTGTTTTATTTATCACAGCGCGCGTGAGTCCACCAAACATGTCATTGACACTGTCCATCATCCCGCTTTACGTGTAACCACAGGGGCGTTCCGCGCATCATCCGCCGCGAGCCTCATGGTGGAATCATACCAGCTGCCGTTGTCATCGAGAAGGAAAGTGCTCTTTATGCGTTATGCACTTAAGATGCGACAGTTCCCCTCCCAGTCGGCAAATAACGCAGTGTTTTCACGGACTGCTGTGCGTTGTCGTCGCGGTGCACCTCGGGTAGATGCTGTGCCCTTTGGCCTCCGAATTCAAGCCTTGCTGTGTGAAAGCAAAATTCCCATTCGAAGGTTGAAGCGGTTAGATCATCTGTCCACTCCCCCCTGGCGTATGACCTTGCTATCAGTAGATGCGTCTTCGACCGAAATGAAGAAGAATTCCGTCTTGTCAGATATAATGAGGTGGAGAGCACCTGAGCGTATGACTTTATATGACTGTTACACACTTAGTTACACGGACGGATCTGAGACGTCTGGCGGTGTGGGCTGCGCGTCTGTGAGCGACGGCGTGATCCGGTCGTTTTCTTTGCCTCCATACGCGTTGGTGTTCACATCGAAGTAGGTAGCGATCACCAGGCGCTGTGTTTCATTGAAGTTAGTGACGAATCTTCATATCTGATTTTGACAGACTCTCTGAGCAGTGTTCGTGGTCTGAGGTCTTTTTATCCATCATTTCCCTCTTATACAGAATATTTTAGGACGTCTGACTCAAGTGGATCAAGCCCGAAAGAAAGTCATGCTGTGTTGGATCCCCAGCCACATTGGAATCGCCGGAAACGAGGTGGCTGACGCGGCTGCAAGACGAGCAGCGCTGGCTTCATGTGAACGCTCTCATTCTATCCCTGCTAGAGATTTTTACCCTGCGATAAAAACCTTCCTGCAGAACGAGTGGCAGCGTTGATGGGATGGGACAAATGAAAATAAGCTCAGAGCAGTAAAACCCAAGCTGGGTCAGTGGTTATCATGTTCTCGCAAGGCCAGGCAAGAAGAGGTGGTGCTCTGCAGACTACGTATTGGGCACACGTGCGCAACTCAATGTTATCTGTTGCAAGGAGCCGAAGGACCTACCTGCTATCGATGTGGTGCTGTTCTCACCGTTCGTCATGTGCTCATATCGTGTCCGCGCCTCGTGGAAGAACGTCGACGTCACTTTGGACAGCGTAACATGCCCCTGACGCTCTGTGACATTTTAGGAGACAACTCGCGCTTTCTTGAATCTAAAAAGGCCTTTTTATTCCTTAAGCACACTGACCTCGGCACTCTTTTCACGGTTGTTAGTTCGGTAAAACAAAACTCGTTATGGGCGCCAAATGACCACTGCAGTCGGCGCGCCCGAAAACACAAATAAACAACAACAAAGCACGAGCCAGCACCGCGACATATTTTGTATAAGTCCGAGTGACACCCATTCAGACTTCAACCACGGTCCTTCCAGGGCCGTGTAATTATGAAGAATATTAAGGTGAAAGCCATGTTATTAGAAGGGGAAGTGTTGCACTTGCATTGTCTTGTGTGTTCGAAGTCAGCAACGTTCGGGTGGGAATCACTACGGATCAGGCAGGGAGCGGAGCTAATTGGGGTGGGGGGGGGAGGTCCGGGTTACAATCATCCCGAGGTAATGATTGCTGGCTTGTGCGAGCGGGGTAAGCTACCACGTCCATTAGGATAGTCGTTCGCGATTTCGATGGTGGCTTGGTATGCCCTTTAAAGTTATTTGATGGCACAATACCGCACTCGCTGCGGGTTATTACTTTCGATGCGGGGCCGTTATTGCTGCCCGCCGACCGCCGCCTGGTGCCAGCTGCACCGCCGTAGCCTTGCGCCCTAGGGGGGATGCTAAGCTGGATGTCGGTGTTTTTGCGCCAAAAATACGCAATGGGGCTTATGGTGTCTAGGGATCAAGGCGCCGACGAAGGCCCTCTCTCAAGGCATTGCCTTGCCCTTTGGGAAATTCTGGACCCGTGCCTGCCTCATGAACCGAGGATGAGAACGTGTAGCGGACCGGGACACGCGAGCGAGGGCCCCTACGGGGCGGTCGTGTGAAGGGGACCCCACTCGAGGATACGCGACAGGAGCCGTGCAGGGAGCATCACCTGAAGACCTCGTATGGCACATGTCTTGTCCTGTCTCGGTGCCTCCCGTCAGCACGTTCCGGTGTGGTGTGAGCTATGTGAAATGACGTGCTTTTCTGGCACTCTTATTTCATGATTTCTCTGGCGGTGTCTCGAGCAAATACTTTCTTGAGGAGACGGGCATCACGTGCTCCTTCCTTGTGTGCCTGCTCCTCTGCGCTGAGGTGGAGCTGAAACCCAGTACAGCTCATGCACGCTGCTTATCTGGGGTGCATATCGATATAAGCGCGGAATTATTACGCCACTGAACACAACCCACAAGGCTGGTAAGCTATCAGCTACTTGGAAGCTGAAGTGAAAAGGCATGAAACAGGGAAACAATGGTGTCGTCTGACAAACATGTATCGTTTATACACCATATGAAAACCAAGAACAGCTGGAGAAAGCACGGCGCACGCGCTCGAAATAGATCGAACAAATAGGCGAGCATACCTCGCAGCCACCTGGCAGCTGCAAAAGTTCTGCGAGTCCAGCGTCACCCCGTGACGTGCTGGTTGGCACCATGTGCAGGTGTAGGCGCATCACACCGCGTGCGCGTGAACGTGCCGAGTGCGCGCTTCTGCCAGACAATTGAAGCCGCTCGGTAGCACAAGGTCATATAGGACAATGATGATCTGTCGCTGACAATGTTTCTGCACTTTGCTTGTGTGAAGAATGTCATGGGCAGTTTTTTGCTTGCTTTTTTATGCCCTGTTATCCCCGCAGCTTAAAGTCAGCAAAACCAAGCGCACAAAACCGATAAATAATGATCACGTTTTGAAAGGTGCACCAGCCATGACGCGATAACAGCAAGCACAGGTAGGTACTGATGGTAATTTGTTCTTAACGATTGCATGTAACAATCTATTCATATACTATAATACACACAAACAGCCACACAGAGTTTCTCCGACCACAAACTGCGCTTTCATCACTGGCGGGATTACTTACCTAATCCCGCGTCAACAGGCACAAATCAATGTTCAAGGGAAGAGGCAATCTAAATTTCTTGCCATTCATTCCGGACTAGCTCTTTTGATCGGCTCTCTTGACACGTCAGTGCAGTATTCACGTGAATTTAGGAAGGCGACAGTGTTTGCAAACTGCAGATGGTTCGACAACAGCCAACCAGAACGCAGAACTAGTCTATTTGGCGTGCGCTTCTTCAGATAGCTGTAGGTATCAGCAGCGGATAACTCGCCCGAGGCTGGCGTGTGTTGTCAGTGAATCGATTTCTGCCCAAAAGGGGATTATTCACACGAAATCGGCGCGTCGGCGCGCGATCCGAACGCCATGGTGCCAGTGGCGCCACCAGACGGGGAGTGAGGTACCACCACCGGACGCCGGCAGCACCGCGGCGTCCGAACGGAGCACCGCCGGCCCAGCCGCATTTGTGCAGTGCCAGACGGAAGGGAGCCCTTCGAACTAACGCGGTGAATAACAAACAAGTCGGTTGAGCCGGTGGCTGCGTGCCAATTCAAATGGGTCCAAGGTAACAGTAATCTCTATCCTTGATAAAGAGATCAAGGTTTGTTCGACTGTCGTTGCGGCGCGGACTTGGTTGCCATCGTGCTGCCGCCTGGCGATGACCAGGCAGGACAATTTTTTGACAAACTCCACAGTACTTCCGAGTGGTTACGTTCCAGCAAGCACGGCCCGCAAGTTTCGCTTGAGCCAGTCAGTCACACACACACACACACCTACACACACAGTCATCAAGACATAAATAAATCAGCATGTAAGCACATTGGCATGACTAGTACCGGCACGCCAACACGTCCACCGCCAACCAAGCTTGAGTCCGAAGAGCTACGCCCGCAAACACTAGCGCCCCTGGCGGCGAGCCGCGCAGGGCGCTATTGCTCGAGAGTCCAGCAGATGGCGCGCTCGCTGGCGGCTTTAACGCAGCGGCCTCAGTAGAGACCGCAGCCGCGCAGGTTGTTGGCAATGATGACGTCCGTGACGGCGTCGAAGACGAACTGGATGTTGGTCGTGTCCGTTGCGCAGGTCATATGGCAGTAGATCTCCTTGTTGGTCGACTTGTTCTTGGCTTCGAACTGCGCCTGGATGTAGGCGGCCGCCTCGCCGTACTCCTGCGCACCTGAGGGAACAGCGGCGGTACGTCTGAGCTCCTCGTCGGATAACGATGCCAAGAGAGAGAGAGAGAGAGAGAGAGAGAGAGAGAGAGAGAGAGAGAGAGAGAGAGAGAGAGAGAGAGAGAGAGAGAGAGAGAGAGATATATATATATATATATATATATATATATATATATATATATATATATATATCTCTCTCTCTCTCTCTCTCTCTCTCTCTCTCTCTCTCTCTCTCTCTCTCTCTCTCTCTCTCTCTCTCTCTCTCTCTCTTCGTGCCTTGCCCGTCTAATCGTACCGTACGCCCGAGGCATGACGTGGGCATGTCTCATGCACGGTCATGCCAGCCTTCGTATCACGCCACACACTCCCTCGCACCCCCTCACGCCTGGTCCCCTACCGCGTGACGGGAACCCTTTGGCCCCGTCACGCTCGGTATCGAGCTCTAACACGCCGGTCCTCCATCTCATCTCGTCAGCCCCATTACGCATGCGCACGCCGACCACACGCTCAAACGACACCAAGTTCGGCCACGAAGGCCTGCCGCAGCTTCAACCCCTGCGCATGGAGCCGCTCTGAACATGCCGTTCCGAGAAACGACACCGAGACGTCTCATCTCTGGAAGCTGCTCTCGTGGTATTCTGAAAAGCCATGCGCCGCAGAACTAACGAGGCAGTTCCGCCCGGAGGAGTCTCAGGTGGGCAGTGCCCTGGACGACACTCAGCGGGATACCCCGAGCGGGACGTCAGGGAAGGTACACACCGGCGGGATACCCCAAGCCAGACGTCAGGAAAGGTACACAGCTTCGGGATACCCCGAGCCGGACGTCAGGAAAGGTACACAGCTTCGGGATACTCCGAGCCGGACGTCAGGAAAGGTACACAGCTTCGGGATACCCCGAGCCGGGTGTCAGGGAAGGCACACACTGGCGGGATATCCCGAGCCAGACGTCAAGGAAGGTACACACTGGCGGGATACCCCGAGCCGGACGTCAGGGAAGGTACACACCGGTGGGATACCCCGAGCCGGGCGTCAGGGGTGGCACACACTGGCGGGATGCCCCGAGCCGCGCGTCAGGAAAGGTACACACCGGCGGAATACCCCAGCCGCGCGTCAGGGAATGTACACACCGGCGGGATACCCCGAGCCGGACGTCAGGGAATTCGGGAAGGAGGTCGGGGTGAGAACGCACTCACCGGGGTATTCGGGAAAGCAAATGGCGAGCGGCGATTTCTTGATCTTTTCCTCGAACAAGTCCTTTTTGTTGAGGAAAAGAATGATAGACGTATCGGTGAACCACTTGTTGTTGCAAATGGAGTCGAACAGCTTCAGGCTCTCTTGCATTCGATTCTGCAACGCGAACCAAACGTTAATCGCATGATTTGTGGTATCCTACATGCTATTTCTATAAGCATGGGCAAACTTCCCACGACCTGTGATTTCCACTTTCTGACTTACACAAAGTTGCTGCTAAGGGGAAGGTCCCCGGCAATTCAAATTTTAAGCTAATGCTTGCGGAAGAAATCAAAACCCGCCCATGGCCTCGCTCATGCCATCACAGCCACAGCAAAACAGCAATCACCTAGTCCTTGGTCCGTTCTAATGCAGCGGAACGGCAGCACAATGACTGCGGTTGGCCGGGCCGCATCCACTCAACGCGCTCCCTTCCTCGTGCAGCACCTGCTCACCGTGCTATTGTCCCTAAGCACTACCTGCTCACCGTGACCTCGTCCTTGTGCAGGATCTGCTCACCGTGCTCTCGTCCTCGTGCAGCACCTGGTCGTACTCGGACATGGCCACGCAGAAGATGATGGCCGTCACGTCTTCGAAGCAATGGATCCACTTCTTCCGCTCGGACCGCTGACCGCCCACGTCGAACAGTCTGCCGGCGTCAGCGCAGGCCGGTCAAGCACCCGCCAGAGAGCGGCGACTCCGCCTCCGGTGACGAGCGGCGGCGACGGCGGCAAACATCCGGCGCGCCGCTTCGCGCCGACGCGGCGTGAGATGCTGGCAGCGACGGTCTGAAAGCGCCATCGCGTCCTGCTCGGATCTTTTACCAGACCCCCCTGGACGAGTACGCAGTGCCTTGGTAATACGCATCGGTTCCTTGACGGAGCGAAGTTCATTTGGTAGCGGAACTGAAGGCTAAATTTAGTTCACACATTTCAACGGGACGGAAATACCCAGATGCAGGCTGATCCACTCTGTCAAACAACGCCCTTGCACACATCCGCGCAAAGAGCGTACGGGTGCGTAGCCCTCAGTACTCCTCAGTACGGGTGCGTAACCCTCAGTGCTCTTCAGTACGGGTGCGTAACCCTCAGTACTCATCAGTACGGGTGCATAACAACGAGCTGGATATTCACGCGATTGCTGATCACATACCCGCAGCGTTCCCGTATAGATTACGCATGCGGCGGATCATATCACAGCCATCAGAACGGTACCATGGCAATCGCGTGCCTTCTGGAAAACAGAGCTTTGGAACAAGCCGCATCAGAAAGAGTCATCCGATGCAAGAGATCCGCGGCAGGGTGCTAGGTGCCGACAGAGTGTCGACCACTGGGTTCTCGGCAGGAAGAAACGACCATAAACTTGAGTAGGGGAACAGGACCGGCCAGGGAGGTGGAAGTGGCAGCATGTTCTCCGTACGACGCAGCCAAAGTGGTGCAGGCGGTCAGCGGTTCCTTGTTAAAATACATTGCGGCGCAATGCATGCAGAGCAATTCCGTGTACACGAGCTGAGACCGTGCTCATCCCGGGTTTCCTGTCTGGATGCGTCTTCGCGGCGCGGCACTTCCTTACGTAGTACCCGGGCGGTGTATGGCGTCTCTGCTTATCAGGACTAAATATGGCTCCTGCCTACGTCGTTATTCGGTTCGTAAAACATACCGCTGCACGTCAGCTCCAGATTTGGTCTCAGCAGTGCTCAGCGCCCCAGGGCCCGTTAATCGAAAGAGATATCTACATCCACTGAAAACGATGGTCGTATGTAAAAAAGGAGGCGTTTTAACACCATTACATCTTACTCCATTCAGATCGGGAAGTTGCCGTAGTCAGATAGTGTAATGATAAAAATTCAACCACCGGTGGGGAGTTAGACCAGGCAAATAATAATCAGCTACCAACACCGATACTTCGCCACATATGTGATGTGCAAACGGTAACCGCTGCGCATAAAGCCGGTGGGCGAGGTAAGCCTGTGGACCATGCCTGTTTCAAACAAACGCCGACGCGCCGACCTGTGACCGTTCCGCCCGCATGACCAAAACCTGCGTCCCCCGGCGGTGCGCGCGGTGGCAGGACAGCAAACATGCGTCCCCCGGCGGTGCATGCGGTGGCAGGATAGCAAACCTGCGTCCCTCGGCGGTGTGTGCGGTGGCAGGACAGCAAACCTGCGTCCCTCGGCGGTGCGTGCGGTGGCAGGACAGCAAACCTGCGTCCCCGGCGGTGCGTGCGGTGGCAGGACAGCAAACCTGCGTCCCTCGGCGGTGCGTGCGGTGGCAGGGCAGCAAACCTGCGTCCCTCGGCGGTGCGTGCGGTGGCAGGACAGCAAACCTGCGTCCCTCGGCGGTGCGTGAGGTGGCGGGACAGCAAACCTGCGTCCCTCGGCGGTGCATGCGGTGGCAGGATAGCAAACCTGCGTCCCTCGGCGGTGCGTGCGGTGGCAGGGCAGCAAGCCTGTGTCCCTCGGTGGTGCGTGCGGTGGCAGGACAGCAAGCCTGTGTCCCTCGGCGGTGCGTGCGGTGGCAGGACAGCAAACCTTCGTCCCCCGGCGGTGCGTGCGGTGGCAGGACAGCAAGCCTGTGTCCCTCGGCGGTGCGTGCGGTGGCAGGACGGCGCTCCCTCACATACCGAACCGCTTGTCTCCTGAACCAGTTACCGGCGGATTCAAGGCGACTGGATCCCACAAGTTTTAAGCTAGCACGCTGAAAAGTCACCCTTTGTGTAATAGGGCTGTCTGATACTGTTTGTGCATGCATGTGAATTATATTTTTCCCTTATTCTTTTCCGTTGTTTTTGACGTGCTCTACTATCTCTCTGATCAATGCCGCTTCAAAGCCAATGTGGGGAGGAGTTAATGTGGAGTGTCGGCTGGGTCAAATACCCTCCGAACTCTTGCGCCGGAGGTCGAAGAGCACTACTCAGCATGACGGAACTCTGTGCGATCTACGAATGCACTTGTGCATGCATGCACATATACCCATGGGTGTATTTCAGAGCCCATGGGAATAAGGATGCGCTGTGCCATCCTGGCATAACAGAAATATGACATGTTCCGCATGATTACCATGGTGAACAACGAGCTGTATCTTCCGATCACTAGGTGACGTTCAATTCCAGGACAATGACAAAGCTTCGAAAAACACGTTGCCGTGACAACCACGCTGATTGCCCGCAATTGCATGAATGACATTCCGAAAAGACCAGTCGTAACATGGCGTGGTCCACGAATTCGTGACGTGTCATTCATCCCTCGCAACCCAAAATAGCACAGCCATCCGTCCACGGCACGTCCGGCTGTTGCAAAGGCCCGGAGGGCCGCCGCGAGTCTCGACTTGAGGGCACAGCGCAGCAGCAGCACACCGGGGACAGCGGTTAGTTAGTTAGTACGCACAAATTCCGAGCACTGCGTCATGGTCACTTGCTCGTATCAATAACGGAATCCGGGTTCCGTGCACCATGAAAGAAAATCAAATCATCCTGGACTTAAACAACACCTTTAAGAATGCATATTTAATATATTGGACCCCAATACACCCTCCAACAAGATCAAAACCCCTCTACTGTCCTGGAGCCCGGGCACGGTCACGGTCCTGGACAGGAATCCGGTGGCACCTCTGCTCATGAATCAGGGGCGCAACCACTGGAGAGCTGGAGAAACAGGTCCTCCACTTATCACGAAAGGGGATTCTGGCCCCTTCAATTTTGTCCGTAGGATGCACAATTTTTCACAGTCTGCCATTTAGGATGCCATTGTCAGGTTAGGGTGTCCCCCCCCCCCCCAGATTGCATTTCAGTTTGACCTCTCTAATAACGATTTGCCCCACCACAAACTCAGACACATGGTTACACCCACGGCATATGTTATGTTGGAGAGGAGACTTTGATCAAGCGTAACCGAAGCAAAGCGCCGATCCCCTAGCTAGGGGGTCGGAGCACTTCCGCTTTCGGTTGGGGATCACGTGTCCAGAACGTTTCCAATCCAGTACTGAAGTCCCGCAAGGCAGCATTCTAAGCGTTCCGCTTTTTGCTAGTGTGGCCATTGACATCAGTGACGTTTTACCCTACAGCGTGGATCGTTCATCGTCCGTGGACGATATTGCTCAGAATAGTCTTAACAAACCAGCGGCATGGAGTAGGTAGAATTGCATTGTGTTACGTCCAAAAATACGTGTTGTACGCATTTTTGCAACAGAAGACGAGCGTGCGACGATCCTCACTCAGAACTCTGCGGTCGACTGGTGGCATATCTTAACAACGTGAAGTTTCTTGGCCCGTCCTCGATCGATAGTTTGCGTATGCTTGCCATTTCAAGCGGCTTCGCCAGCGCTGTTTTAAAGCCATCCAGATATGAAAATGATTTCAAGAATGACATGGCTCTGATACCTTCATTTTGATGCCCCGATAACAGAGCGGTGGTCGCATAAACTGAATACAGGCGGGCCATGAAATGGTCTTTGAAGCCGTGGCGACCGAAAATAAACAATCCCCATGGTCATCATCATCATCATCATCATCATCATCGAGATGGGGCCGGACGACGTCACGTTACCTTCTGATGTGGTTGAAAATCATGGTAGAATTTTTCATAACTTAAAGCGTTAAAGCCGGACACCGTTGGCTTTCTCTTATGACCCGTTATTTGTTTCGAGTCTCTGGCTCAATCAGGGCGCAACTGACGCTCCTTTTTGTGACGTAGTGTTCAACCAAGCGTAACCGGGAGAAGGATTGGGCTCGTCCAGCGTAGCCAGGGCGTTACCAAGGGGTAAAGTTGTAGAGAATGGTCAGTTTTCCATTGAGCGTAACGTAGGGTAACCGTGTAACGTTCGTGCTTACGCCCAATCACGAACGCAGCCCAGGGACTTTCTAAAGAAGATCTGGAGATTCCTTCCGATGTGAGATTATGTTTCGTTTCATGTAAGAGACAGTTCATAACACAAGAACGTAAACATCCTGCCTGCTTGAACGTAGCACTTCCCTGCGGACAAAAACGAGCGTCATCTTTCCATCTGGGTGAGCTGTCATTCCACAAGTGGACAAACGTCAAGCGACCCCTCCGGCCTCACGGGTGGCAGCTCTCTCCTGGAACAGCAGTGCCCTCTCTCGACGGACGCGAGCAGGCGCTTCCTGCGGCCTCGGCACACGTTTCCTCCGGAGGTGGCCGGGAGTTCCCTCGGATGCGCGGTGCGGGACTGCCAGATTACCCGATCGTTTTCGTCTTTGTAAGAGCTACAGCGGTAATGGTGCCAGTAGTGGGAGCGCGCTGATAACGAGGAGAGACGGGGGGGGGGGGGGGGGCGCCTGGATGCAAGAAATGGGTCGATCCGTTGCCTGATGGATGCAAACAACGGGGAAGGGCTATACTACTTGGAAATGTATACTGCTGATGGAATGCCGCGTGTGTTACTATCCGCACGCATTTCTTGTCATTTCTTCCACGGCAAAAAGTACCAATTCGCGATAACCAGTAACGACTCCACACATTTCAATGCAGAGTCGTGATCGGGAAATTATGAACGGAAACTTGAAGATGCATTAAAGCAAAATTTCCTGATAATTATCTCCCGATGGCGTTTTCCCCGTCACTTGCGAAACTCTTTCAAGGTCAGGTGGTGCCTTGCAACAACATTTGAGACTTTGATCACTAAAATAGTCCCACTAATCACAGTACAAAAACACAGGGCCAAGACACCCCCAGGCTGCTACGCAATACGAATGTGCTGGAATAAAGACCGCGTGTTTTCCCACATCCGAACACTGGGCCCAATATATTTTCATGGAGCGCCGCGATTGGGGGCGGCTCGCAGCTCAGCGCCAATAAACTTACGCAGCATGGTGCATTTGCATTCCCCGCCAGGCCGCAGTGGAAGGAGCACCGCCGACGGGATGTGGGCAGCCATGGGTCCCTGACACCGTCTCAGTTGAGTACCAGCGGGTGGCTCGTAGCTTTCGTACCCAGGACATAATAGCGTCACACGATGGTCCATGGTCACGCCGGACCAGCCCCGACCGAAAACGGCCGGATGGTCCACAGTCCCGGAAGGCGGACGCCCGCCCAGCACCGCCAGGGACTCGGCGGTCCGGTCTTCCATTAGCCCGGGCCGTAACGACCGCACGCTGTCCGTCCTCCGGGAGAGAAAAAACACGGCTCATCGCCGCCGCGGGCTAGCGAAGGACACGGCCCGCCGGGCGTTGTCTGGCCCGGTCTCGAGTCTCGCTGGAGGGGGGTCTACGGGAGGCTGGCCGGTTACGTAAGATGAAGGCGGCTGCCCAATCAAGCAAGCCTGAAATTTCGTATGACCGCGTGCGACCCACATTGTGCCTCCTGCGCCTCAAGGGACCAGTGTTGAGCCTTGAAGTGGTATGAGCTTTGCAGGTGCGCAGTGAGAGGAATCGTGCAAGAGAGCAGACCTCATGGACAAGGCAGACGGCGCCTGCGAGAGTACGTCACTCGAGTGGTGAAGGAAAAGAAGTCTGCCGTGGCCCTGCTTCACTACGTACTTAAAGTTGAGGTTTTTGAAGGAGAAGTGTACTTCGACGATGCCAGTCGTTTTGACCCGGGTTCGCAGGATGTCTTGCACAGTTGGCTGGTAGTCCTTGGCACCCAGGCGCGCTAGGTCATCTAGGAAACTGGAAACAACGAACACAGTGCAGTGAGCAGGAAACAACACAGTGCAGTGAGCACATCGGTCGTGTATAGAATGATGGGTTGCACAGCCCCGAAAGGGATCTATCAACATTGCCTATCTATCAACATTGTGGTGGTCGCTGCCAAAGTATGTCCAAGCTGAAGGTCGCGTCAGTGGCCGAGCTCGAGTATGACACCAGTCCCGTGACGTCAGTCGGTACGGGCACGCGCCTCGACGGGCCAACGTCCAGCGTCCACATCATACCTGCTCCTCAGACATGGGCCGGAGCTCGTGACGCACGCCGCCCGGCAATGTGATTCGGTGAAGTCTTCCATCACAGCCCCATATTGCAGAGTTCAGGGATAGTTGATCGTAACTGACATGACAGCTGAGAGACCAGCTCGGGCATCGTTTTTACCACGGAAGCACTGCGGGCATCGTTTGCACCGCGGATGCGCATCACAGATTGTGTGACGCTAAGCCAAACCATTCTGTAACCAGACTGATGCAACGTCACGGGGAGGTACCCCTGTTCAACTATTAATGGGGGATTGCGTCGAATTAACACAAAAAACACACGCGCACACAACAAGGATATGCTTTGGTGAGCACATGCAGCCTAGACGCCGCAGGCATGCCGTCTGCTCTCACTATTTGGCTGAGTCGTTCAGCTGGTACTCGTTGGACCTGCCGAAGCACTCCTGCACGCCGCCGTCCAGCCAGAGCCGGTTCATGGCCGCCAGCAGCTCGTCACTGAACGGCTCCGTGTCCTCCATCCGGGAGATGACGTCCATCACCATCTTGGCGTCCGGCTGGGGGCGTCGGACAGGCGCGATGCCGAGGACGGACACCAAACGGACACGCCAACGCCTCGACATCTTGCACTCATAACGCACGGCCTGTTTCCGTTAAGCCGTGTTTTCTGTTGTGTGTGCAGCAAACGTTCTCGTTTTCTATTAATTATACTTCAGCAACGGTGTCGAACAGCCCGTATCGGCATTGCGCAGAACTTAACCCGACATCAACCGGACTCCTCAACGGCGCACCATTGACCGGACGGGGGCAGATTTGACCCCCCACTTATCTCAAAAACGGCTGGGCCGAATTCAGAAATTCAAATTGCAATGAAAGTGCCGTGGTATGCAGTCTCAGGCCACACAACAAACTTAGGTTTAGGTGCGCATTAAGGTCACAGGTCAAGAAAAGATATTAGAATGATACTTTGGAACATCTGACCGACTCCACAACGTACTTCATTTAGAAGCGTATCTTGTGGTGTGAAATCACAGCGCCCTGATCAAACGTGCTGAAAAGGAAGACGTTCTAGGCTGCGTGCGCCGTACTAGGTCTGTAATCAAGGTCACGTGCCGTGCAAATGAGCACTGAAACCTTGGTCTATGTGCCAATTTTTGTCCATTTTTTCTGACGTGTCTGAACCATCTAAACGCGAAGTGGCAGAGCTTAGCCGCAATTTTGGATACCATGAAAGTGGGCAAGGCTGTTACTTGTCTATGAACTCTCTCAGATCAGGGTCAAATGGATCACCTCGGCGTCGAATAACCAGTTGGACCGATTTTTGCGTTGCTTTCGACGGTTTAACCCTGCCGATAGCGTAGCCTGATGCCCTTCAACCCCGCCACCAGCCTCACGTGGTCGTCGGTTTGCGTGTGAGGCTGATGTAGGTCAGTCATGGTTACTATATAAGCCATAACTCAGTCGCGTAGCCTGATGCCCTTCAACCCCGCCACCAGCCTCACGTGGTCGTCGGTTTGCGTGTAAAGCTGATGTAGGTCAGTCATGGCTACTATATAAGCCATAACTCAGTAATTGTTACGGATCATTGCTTGAAACTTGGTACAGGCATCCGCCATAGTCGTATCTAGGACATCTTTTGTATCTTCATAATTTTCAGCCGGAGGCTAAGAAATGTGGAATGTACTTTTGTCAATATTATTTGTGTTATTTGACATCCCAATGTTTCAAAGTGCAATATGGAAACAACACAACGACAAGGCATATGAATGACGAAATAAGTGGCGTACATTTGCAGTTTTCGTGTTTAAAATGTCTTCTTTTTTTGGCTTCTGTGTCAATTTCCCTGCGGCTATGCGCTTCTGTCCAAAGTTGGCAAACAATACGCCACTATGACGTCACCTACGCTTGACCTATTATGGGCTCGTAGTTGTTTTTCACAATACGGCAAATAACTTATTGTTCACCGCTAATTTTGCTGCCATACCTCAATGCATTCATTGAATTATCGCAAACATTGGACAGGGGGCAGATTTGACCCCTTCTCCTCCCCGGTCAATGCTGGGGGAATAATGTCAACATGCGAGAAACATCACCACAGTACCGACTTCAACCGTCACCGATAGAGGGCTGACGCTGGACCGGCAGGTGAAAATGAGCTGCGTATTTGAACTTTATCGTGGTGCTGACTGGAATATATCCATTTTGTGTGATCTAGTACCCTCACTCGCTCACTTTAACCCCTGTGCGATACTGTGATCGATGCCGCCAGTGCGTCCTCAGATTAGGCTGCAGAGGCTGCTACAGCACTCCTTTATTGTACGACCGGCACACGAGCCATTAAGGCGCTGGTCTCAGTGCTTAATTAAACGGCAGCGAGTATATTTTGTTGTTGCGTGCAGGGTGTTTATGAAAATAACACTCACGGTGCAGCCAGTGGTGGGAAAGTGTCTTTTCCGTTGCCGACGAAATTTGGAAACAGCCTTACTTGTCACTTGGAGGCAAATCTATCAGAAACCATCGCACTAAAACTATAAAAGCGACAAACCACACAGAACAGAGAAAAATAAAGTGCAGTGAGTAATAAACATTATTAATCTTTTCATTTCGTAAGGTCTATTTGTTTGGCAACGTATAATTTGCTGACCATGTCAAAAGCTCCGGCGGTTAATGCGTACGTTTTAGTGCATGAGTGGCCGGCGCAGCGGGCTTAAGCTTGGTGAGTACGTCAGCTCGGTTAAAACCTAAGCCGTCGCATGCGCGGAGAAAGGCAGGAGCATGTATGTTCAGCGGCCGCATCATAACTATAGATGACACATAACAAGCCCCATGCACTATGTCACGACATACTGGGGCAATGCCAGTGTTGGAGAGGGAACCCTGACAGCGTTTGACCCACCGATCAAAACCCTTCTTCACCGCTTTGCTATCAGCTGGACACCCTTTTTGACGCTACAAACTGCGCTACCTTAAGCTGAGTAGTCGCGTAAGTCAATATAAGTACGTTACTGTGTTGTTTCAGAACACGGCTTTGGCCTATGTCTAAACTGCAGTGTCTGAAATGAAACTCCATAGCTTTCCATAACGCCCGATATTGAGATTTCTAGCATTTATAATTCACGCCTGGGAAACTTTTACCCCTCAACAAAAAACAAAACAAATCCAACAATGGATAAGTTTTTTCATGGCTTGGGTACCATGGATGGCGTGTTAATGTTCACGTAACGAGCCGTACTTAGCGAGATCGGTTGATTGCTTTGGAATTCGGGCGCTGCGACTATTTCTTTATGCGACGACCATGTTCAGTGTATAGTAACTATACTGATTTAAGCGTCGCTCACGGACCAAAACAGCCGCTTTTTAAGGAAGCATTTGGGCGGCGTGCATGTCATAACGGACACAGCAGTTCTATGCCACCCTGTTGTGGGTACATTCATGTCCGGCACATCATATTTTTCAGATGTGGACCTAGGACCTAATGTCCATACACCACAAACTTATAAAAGTATGGCAAGGAATGAAACGCTCGCTCCATAAACCCGCATTATGGCATTATAATTGTCTGCAACTTAACACTCGCCCGGGTTGAGGGCTGCATACCCTTCGCTCGCGTGGGAGGTCGATTTTGCCCCCCCCCCCTGAGATCTCGGGAACTAAGACAGCCAGAAACACCATATTCACCGAGTGTGTTAACCTGTACGTGAACTCACTTAGGTTAAATTTCGAGGTTCCTAGGTCATGATTTTCGGGTCAAATAAGGTCAAGCAAGGTCAAATGTCAGGTTGGTCTCCAAAGTGCCCCCAGAACCTAGATAACTGTTTCTAAGCAAAAGGTCACATGCCCATTTAAGGTCAGCGACCTTGTTTGACCTTTTGGAGGTCACGCTTACCAAAATCATACAATAATGCTCTGAGTTTTGCACTTGCATAAGCGACAAAGATAACGCTAGACAAGATGTTTCGAAAAACAAAAAGGTTTACCTGGGTCATTTCAGGTCAATGACCTGTTCTGACCTCAAAAAAGTCCATGGAAGGTGCATAATGCATAATGCTGTCAATAAATTCGAAATGAGCACCAGGAACTATCCCTTACAGCAAGCCCTAGAGGAATAAAACAGGTTGGTTTTGACGTTGATCTGACCTTTATACCTGATCTTGGGTCAACGTAATTGCTCATTCAATATTTTTGCTACCTAAAAAAGCCTTTCAGAGATGTGTGGCTTCGTGTAACACTCCGTTGTTGCATCAGAATGAACGACTCCCTAGAAATTGACTCAGCTGAAAACATGGCCCGACTTTGACCTTCCATAGGTCAGCGTCCTTACAAGGTACATGTAAATTTGTTATGCCAAACGATCCGCTATTCAGTTGTCTACAGCTATGTCAAATTTGGTGGCCGTCAGACCCAGGAGAGGCCGCGTGTCCGGCACTGGGCTGGCCGCATGCCGCACATGTCAGGCCGGTCCGGCACATCATGACCCCTCCGGTCATGTGTCCAGCACTGGAGCAGATGCCTGTTCAGCACTGGGCTGGCCGTATGCCGGCACATGTCAGGCCGGTCCGGCACATCATGACATCTCCGGTCATGTGTTCAGCACAGGAGCAGATGCCTGTTCGGCACTGGGCTGGCCGTATGCCGGCACGTGTCAGGCCGGTCCGGCACATCATGACCTCTCCGGTCATGTGTCCAGCACTGGAGCAGATGCCTGTTCGGCACTGGGCTGGCCGTATGCCGGCACATGAGAGGCCAGTCCTGCACATCATGACCCCTCCGGTCATGTGTCCAGCACTGGAGCAGATGCCTGTTCGGCACTAGGATGGCGCACGTGCAGCACTGGAGCGGCCGCGTGTCGGGCACAGGTGAGGTCGAATGTCCAACGCAGGGCTGGAAAGCACTGGCGCCGGGTTGTGCAACGCTTAGCTCTCGCCCTGATTCGCTGTTTTTTATAACAAGGACTAGTAGAGAGAAGGGGGAAAAACTTTCTTCGCAGCATTTCTGTTTTGAGAAGGAATGCGTTTCAGGAACACTGCGTGGCGATTGACGATAAACGGACGGGTGCGGGCGGCGAGGCGACCCTGACATGCTCTAGACGATAAATCTATGCTTAGCGCACATAGAACTACACACCAACGCACTCGCCTTCAAAGAGGAACCCACCTGTTTGGATTAAGTGTTACTGTAAGTTATAGTCTCGCACATAGGAGCACAGAAAAATATAATTGTTCGATTTCCAGAAAAAATTTGACTCTTGACATATTTTTTACCTCGCGTCATAAAACTTTTCACCAATCGTAAGATCTAGTTAAGACTAAACTATCGTTCTTGTAAATGCGTGGCTCTATCTAGGTTAGTTTGGAAAGGGGAGGGCTCGCATCGATCGCCCCCCTCCCCCACATAAATTTGCGTCATGAAAATCGACGAATCAGGGCGAGGACTAATGAATGAGCCGTGACCAAACATCATGTTTAACATGCTTATCATGCGGTTGTTATTTTCACGTGTGTAGCCTTATTGACATTACCTTCACAACGAAAAGAAGGGAAATGTCCTCTGCTAGGTC